AACCCAGGGCCTCATGCATGCAAGGCAAGCACTCTACCACTGAGCCACCTTCCCAGCCCGGCACCATAAGCTTTTTAAAGTGTTTTTAAGTGTTTTTATGCGGAATGCTTTGATCATTCTGTAATCTAAAATATGCATTATTCTTAGCATTGTTTAGATATTGTTCAGATTCAGTATATTATTTTTTAATTACAATTGAAAGATAAAACTATTTTTAAATAAATGAATAGGATTTAAATTTAATTTAAAATGTTCTGTAGGAGTTAATTTATGATAAAATTTAGTTTACATTGGACCATCTAAAGAAGTTTCTTTCCATGACTTGCTTACAAAGCCACTTACTTGCTTTAGTAAAAGCTCGTTTCTAAGCACCTTGGCAATTATTTTGAAATCTCTATTTTTTATTTTTATTTTTTACCAGTCCTGGGGCTTGAATTCAGGGCTTGGCTCTGTCTCTGAGCTTCTTTTGCTGAAGGCCAACACTCTGCCACTTGAGCCACAGCACCATTTCCGGCTTTTTCTGTGTATGCGGTACTGAGGAATGGAATCTAGGGCTTCATGCATGCTAGGCAGGCACTCTACCACTGTCATATTCCCAGTCTTGAATTCTTCTTTTTGAGAACTATAATAATTTTTAAATGTTGATAAAACTGAATCTAAGCACTAAATTCTATAAACATTAACTGCTTTGTAAGTTGCAAGTCTGTAACACATAGAAAAATAAAAATTAAATTTCACTTCTAAACCATACAAAACTTTGTTTCTGTCTCAAAGTAATGCTATTTTCTCTTCAATGTATGTTTCTTAGACAAATTTAATTGATTTGTATTTATGAAAAGAATGCTAAAAATTAAATTACCTTTGAAAAAGTAAAGTATAAAAATCCTCTTTCCTTCCTTCCTTCCTCTCTCTTCCTTGCTTTCTGCTAGATATAACCCAAGGCTTTATGTGTTCTGTTTCTAACCTACATTTCCTGCCCAGTATTTGCTTTTATTTATTTAGGTGCAGGGTGGGGTGGGGTGAGCAATACTGCATTTTCCCAGGCCTGGCCTTGGACCAAAATTCTCTTACTTGTTCCTCCTTAGTAACTGGGATTATAGGTATGTACTAACTTACCCAGTAAGGGATTTAGCAGTTGGAAATTTGGAATTTTTTTTTTTAAAGTCACTGTAAATATGTGTATCAGAATTTTTTATTTTGTTTTGGATAATATTGTTATAGCATCATATAAATAGGTGATTATTTTTATTTTTCCCCCATGTTTTGACCATAATTGATTTAAGAGTTAACTATGTAACAATTATTTTTAAGGCTATGAAAATGAGCCGGAGATCTGCTGATGCTAGCCAGAGGAGTTTGGCATATAATCGCATCGTTGATGCCCTTAATGAATTCAGGTACTTATTTCCCACTTTCCTATAAATGCAGAGTTGTTTTACGATGTACTTAACTCTAATAAAACGTAGTTCTTCAAATTTCTCTCTCCTCCTCCTTGCTTTATTGAGCCCAGCCTAACCTTGAATTTGTAATTCTTTTGCTTCAGCTTTCCAAGTGCTTGGATTGCAGTTCTTTTAAATATCTTTGTCCCATAGTTATATGAGAGTAAAATTCAGTAATCCACTTTCTCCTAGCTCCCACCTCCTGTCTCTGCACAAAAGTTGTTTATTTCATTTTCTACATACTGTATATAGACTATCATGACTGCATTTTTTTGTTTTGTTTTGTTTTGTTTTTGTGTGGTTGGTCCTGGGGCCTGAACTCAGCCTGGGCACACTGTCTCTGAGCTTCTTTGGTCAAGGTTGGAACTCTACTTCTTCAGTCACAGCTCCACTTACCAGCTTTTTGGTAATGTACTGGAGATAAGAGTCTCACAGATGGTCCATCCTGGGCCAGCTTCAAACAATGATCCTTAGATCTCAGCCTCCTCAGTAGCTAGGATTACAGGTGTGAGCCTGTAATCCTGGCTAAAACACTTCAAATTCTTAGTTATTTTTAAGTTCCCAGAAATGTGAAGAACTTATCAAAGTGACCTATATTTGTTATTGCTATTTACTCTAATAGATTGTATTGATATTGGGTGAATATTCAATTAAACTTTGATAGACAAGATAGTTCCTTTCCTTTGTTTTGGGTTTCAGGTGTTAGAAAGTATTCTAAAATGGATAATAGAATTTTTTTTAAATCTTCGAAACTTTTCTAGAAGTGTACTATTTGGTACATTCTGATCCCTGTTCAGTTCTTCAGTTATATGGCTCACATTTCAGTTGTTGAGTAAACTATGTATGGCTGATGACTTCCATATTAGACATTGCAGATATGGACACTGCATTTTCATAATTGCCAAAAGTTCTATTAAGTAGCACTATGCTAAAATTTGGAAAATGGGACATCGTTCTGTAGTTTCTATGAGACTAGTTTCTTAAGCCACAAGCTTTGAAGAATTGATTCAGTTAGTGAACCAAGTAGGCTTGGTTGAAATAGGTATTGATATAAAAGGGGCAAACATCTTGAATATACTTTGAAGCCTTCAGGAAATACTTCAAGTCACAGGATTAATTGTTTTCTACATTAATCAAAGAAACAGCAAGGAAAGCACTATAATAAGTAGGAAGTAGTTTTCCCTTGTATTTAATGACAAACTGCAGAAGATGGAGAGTCATAAAATACCATGTACATATATGGAGTCCTGATCCTTTAGAACTTTACTAAAGAGCAATGAAATGATGCAGATAAACTGCTGTTTAAGCCAGGTGCTGGTGGTCTGTAATCCTAGCTACTCAGGAGGCTGAGATCTGAGGATCAGTGTTCAAAGCCAGCCCAGGCAGGAAAGTCTGTGAAACTCTTATCTCCAATTAACCACTAAAAATCCGGAAGTGGCGCTGTGACTCAAGTGGTAGAGCACTTGCCTTGAACTGAAGAACGCAGGGACAGCTTCCAGGCCCAGAGTTCAAGCCCTACAACCAACAAAAAACCCAAAAAACTGCTGTTTATAGTGAGTTGTGGTTAAGCTGATACCCTTTTAGAATAATTTCCTTTTGTGTTTATCTTCTATGTGCAATAGATGCAGATATATAAATATAATGTATGTACAACTAGAAAGGCTCTAGAAATTACCTAGTTCTGTCCTTTAATTTTAAAACTGGAAAAGCTGATATGTTTAAAGTATGGAAATAATTTGCTCTAAGTCATACCTATCATTGCAGATCCTGGCTATCATAGGAAACAGCATATTTTTAAATTAATATGCATGAAAGTAACATTCAAATAAAAAATGTATGAAACCTTTTTCATGCTACTATGGTGAGAAGGAAGGAAAGACTTCATTATTTTTTTTTTAAGGAATTTAATCTAGGTGTAAGACTCAAACTGGCGACATACCCTTTAAGGTTATATAATTTGAGGAACTAAACATTTCATAATGTTTCTTCTTGTCCGGCGCTGGTGGCTTGCGCCTGTAATCCTAGCTTCTCAGGAGGCTGAGATCTGAGGATCACAGTTGAAAGCCAGCCCAGGTAGGAAAGTCTGTGAGACTCTCATCTTCAATAAACCACTAGAAAACCGGAAGTGGTGCTGTGGCTCAAGCGGTAGAGTGCTTGCCTTGAACTGGAGTGCAGGGACAGCGCCCAGGCCCAGAGTTCAAGTCCCACAACTGACAAAAAACAAACATAATGTTTCTTCTTCTTTTTAGAACAACAATTTGTAATCTTTACACAATGCCACGGATTGGAGAGCCTGTCTGGCTTACCATGATGTCGGGTACTCCAGGAAAGAACCAGCTTTGCCATCGTTTCATGAAGGAGTTCACTTTTCTAATGGAAAATGCTTCCAAAAATCAGTATGGACTGTTTTTTGTTCTTTAATTATTCATTTACTTACAAAAATGTTTCTCATAATTTATTGTAGATAATCTGGATATCTAGATTGGGAGTAAACAGTGAAAAAACTGTATGAATGTATAAAATGTATCTCTGTAAATATTTTTTATTAATGAAACTATTCTAAAAATACTTAAATGATAGAAGAGTATAGACAAAGCCAGGCTTGTAATCCTAGCTACTCAGGAGGATAAAATCTGAGGATTGTGGTTCAAAGCCAGCCCAGACAGGAAAGTGGAAAGTCCATGAGACTCTTACCTCCAGTTAACCACCAGAAAACCAGAAGTGGCACTGTTGCTCAATTGGTAGAGTGCTTGCCTTGAGCTGAGAGCTGAGGGACAGTGCCAGACCTTGAGTTCAAGCCCCACAACTGACCCCATCCCCACCCCCCAAAAAAAGAATTAGACAAGTGGCATAGAATGAAAAACACCTAATAATTACTGTGTTAAAGTTCCTGACATTTTACCAAATTTTCTTCTCATTTTGGAGGAAGTTATATCCATTTATGGGAGTTATATTTCAAGCCAGGTGCTGGTGGCTCATGCTTATAATCCTAACTATTCAGGAGGCTGAGCTCTGAGGATGGCAGTTCAAAGCTAGCTGAGACAGGAGAGTTTATGTGACTCTTTTTCTCAAATTAACCACCAAAAAATGCTGGAAATGGAACTGTGGCTCAAGTGCTAGAGCACTAGCCTTGAGCACAAAAGCTCAAGGCCAATATCAAAGCCTTGGGTTCAAACCCCAACACTGGCACTAAAAAAGAGAGAGAGAGGGTTTCATTTGTTAGAAAAGAGTTTTAAAAAATATGTAAGGAAGTGCTAGGATCCCAGTGATAACTTCTTTATTATGTGTGATCATACTGGCACTATCCCTTGGCTTTTTTGGTCTAGGATGACACTCTGCCACTTAATCCACAGCTCCACTACTGGCTTTCTTTTTTTCAGATTAATTGGAAATAGTTTCTTAGACTTTCCTACCCAGGCCAGCTTTGAACGGTGATCTTCAGATCTTAGTCTCCTGAGTAGCTAGGATTACAGGTGTGAGTTATGTGGCTTAATGATACTTTTTTTTGGTGCCAGTTCTGGGGCTTGAATTCAGGGCCTGGGTGCTATCCCTAGTTTTTTTTTTCTGTTCAAGGCTAGCACTCTGCTACTTCAACCACATCTCCACTTCAGGATTTTTGGTAGTTAATTAATTGGAGATGAGAGTCTCATGGATTTTCCTGCCTGGGCTGACTTCAAACCATGATTCTCAGATCTCAGCCACCTAAGGAGCTAGGATTACAGGCATGAGCCACAGAGCCCAGCCAGTGATATATTTAAAAAAAAATTTTTTTTTTTTGGTCAGTTGTGGGGCTTGAACTCTGGGCTTGGGCACTGTCCCTGCACTCTTCAGCTCAAGGTGAGCACTCTATCGCTTGAGCTACAATGCTACTTCCGGTTTTCTAGTGGTTTATTGGAGATAAAAGTGTCACGGGCTTTCCTGCCTGGGCTGGCTTTTGAACCATAATCTCCAGATCTCAGCCTCCTGAGTAGCTAGGATTATAGGCGTGAGCCACCAGTGCCTGGCTCCAGTGGTATATTTTTAATTTTATCATATAGTTTTCTTCTAGTTATTAAGTCTTTAGACTTCAGATAAGCTATTTAAATGCTTTCATTCTCTTTTAATGGGAAACAAAGTTTACTTTGGAATTCTCTTTATTTTTTTTCCATTCAGTAATTTGGAAATTGCTAAGTTGTATATTTAGAAATTAAGGACCTGCTAGTTCATTCATTAATGAGCTGGGCACATTAAACACTGAAAAGAATCTAGGGGCTGGGAATGTGGTAGAGTGCTTGCCTAGCATACGTAAAGCCCTGGGTTTGATTCCTTAGTACCACATAAACAGAAAAGGCTGGATGTAGTATTGTGGCTCAAGTGGTAGACTAGCCTTGTGCAAAGGAAGCTTAGGCCCTGAGTTCAAGGCCCAGGACTGGAGAAAGAACAGAAAAGGAAAGAATCTATAGTTTATTAAAGTAAAATGGCATTTTGTTTTATAATTATGATTTGAAATAGTCCCTTTCATCCTGGTAATGTGCCTCTCCTTTCTTCTCTTCTCTCCTTTTGTATGCCATTTGGCATACAAAATATGTATTCTCTTTGTTTACTCTGCCACACATTTTACTTCATGTTATATGAAGGTAGCCTGAAATCTGAGTGGGTGCCTTTTGTTTTCAGATTCTTGCCAGCTCTTATCACTGCGGTTTTGACCAATCATCTTGCCTGGGTTCCAACGGTCATGCCAAATGGACAGCCACCTATCAAAATATTTTTAGAGAAACATTCCTCTCAGAGTGTGGACATGTTGGCAAAAAGTCATCCATACAACCCACTTTGGGCACAACTGGGTATGTAGTCTGAAAACTCATACACTCTCTATCGTATACTTCAGACTTGTGTAACTGTGCAGAACTTTTTTAGAAAAAAAGAAAATTAAACAAAACTCTGACTTTTATATGTTTCATTCTAAAGTATCTCTCTTGTACCTGTTTTTTTTTTCCTGTCTGCTAAGTTGTCCGGTTGCCTTATGCCTGATACCAAATAGAGAATTTAGGAGCTATAGAATATGTATGTAGAGCAGGAATTGCAGTCTGATAACTGATTTACTAAAACGCTTTGGGCTTTCAGAATGTTTTGTATTGGCCTAGAAGGGATTTAATCAACAGAGCACCTGTGTTAGCTATAGCAAATCTAGTTTAGGAACAAGACGAGCTACACTTGGTGAAGTAAGTCCACAACCCCAGCATTTGGGAGGTAGAGGCAGATGGATTAAGAATTGCAGGGTAAGCTTTGGGGCTGGGAGCTCAGGACTGTCATCCAAGGTACTCAGGAGGCAGACCTGAAGGATCGAGATTCAAAGCCAGCTTTTGTAGAGAATTCCATGAGACTGTCTATAAAAAAAAAATAACCAGCAAAATTCTGACTAAAAGTATGGTTCAAATGGTAGAACATGATCAACGAGTAAGCAAGCCAAGCAACGATGCTAGACCCTGAGCTCCAAGCCCTAGTAACATCACAGGCTGGGGAGGTAGCTCAGTGGTAGAGTGCTTGTCTTGCATGCATGAGGCCCTGGGTTCAATTCCTCAGCACCACGAAAGCAGAAAAAGCCGAAAGTGGCGCTGTGGATCAAGTAGTAGAGCACACCTTGAGATTAAGAGCTGAGGGGTAGCTCCTAGGCCCAGAGTTCAGGCCCTATGACTGACAAAATAAAAAAAATTTCAGAGTGGCCTGAGCCACTGCTAAATTCAGGGCCAGCCTGTTATATAAGCAAGGCATTACCTGAAATGAAGAGGAGAGATAGATGGGAGATGGGGTGGGAATGGGAACATGGAGAGGGAGACAGGGAGCACTTGAATGCTCTTATTAACATTTCTGTTGTTCACTTTTTTTTTTTTTTTTTGTCAGTCATGGATTTTGAACTCTGGGCCTAAGTGCTGTCCCTGATCTCTTTTTGCTCAACCACTTTGAGCCACAGCACCACTGCCAATTTCTGGTGCTTAATTGGAGATAAGAGTCTCACAGACTTTCTTGCCCAGGCTGGCTTTGAACCAGGATACTCAGATCTCAGCTTCCTAAGTAGTTAGGATTAAGGTGAGAGCCACCAGTGCTGGACTTTGTTCACTTTTGTTTGATAATCTTTTAAAATTTTTTACTTGGCGTTACTGAGGCTTGAACTCTGGCCCTTGAATTTAATAAACAGGTACTGTTTCCTCTGAGTCATACTTCTGTCCCTGTTTTTTTGCTGGTTATTTTGGAGAACAGGTCTCACTTGCTGCCTGGGTATAGTTCACCTGTGTTAGGCTTCCCCTAGCTCGAGTAACAAGCTTGTGTCAGCATGTCCAGCTCTTTGTTGAGAGTGGATTTCACAAATTGTTCTATGCCTGGGCTGGCCATAAATTCAAGTAATTTGTTTTTTGTTCATCTGTTTTGGTGGTTGTGGTACTAGGGTTTCAACTCAGGGACTTTTACTTGCTAAGCAAGTATTTCCCACTTGACCCACACCATCAGGCCTTTTTGTCTTAGGCTAGTTTTCAGGTATGTCTGGTGAACTAGTCTTAGACCATGATCCTTTACTCGCTTCTGTCCATATAGCTTGTTACAGGATCACACCCAGTCCTCAGTAGTGTTCTGTATGTACGCATGTATGCACATATGCCCTAGTACTGGGACTTGTATTCTTCCTTAGCTTTTTAACTCAAAGCTGGCACTCTACCACTTGAGCCAACCCCCCACTGGCCATTTGCTGATTAATTGGAGATAAAAGTCTACAGGCTTTGTCTCTCTGGGCTGATTTCAAAGTAGGATCTTCAGATCTCAGCCTCCTGAGTAACTAGAATTACAGGAGAGAGCCACCAGTGCCCACCCATCTGGGCACTGTCTCTGATCTTTTCTACCCAAAGCTAGTGCTCTATCACTTTGAGCCACAACACAACTTTTGCTCTTCTGGTGGTTAATTGGAGTTAAGAATCTCACAGACTTTCCTGCTTGGGCTGGCTTTGAACCATGATCCTCAGATCTGAGCCTCTTGAGTAGAATTACAGGCCATGAGTGCCCAGCATCAGTAGTATTCTTAACTGGGATACTTCAGATCTATTTTGAAATCATTTTTGAGTACATAAAGCTCTATACAAAGATTATTGACAGGTTAAAGATGAATAAACCTGTCCTTTCATTATTCTTTATAGTTAATACTATTTATCCTAGCCTATTTGTTCAGCTTCTAAAGAAATTGAAGGATCTGGGAAGGTGGCTCAGTGGTAGAGTGCTTGCCTCGCATGCGTGAGGTCCTGGGTTCAATTCCTTAGCCCCACATAAGCAGAAAAAGCTGGAAGTGGTGCTGTAGCTCAAGTGGTAGAGTGCTAGCCTTGAGGTGAATAGCCAAGAGCCCAGGCCCAGAGTTCAGGCCCCATGACTGACCCCCACAAAAAAGAACTTGAAGTAAAATCTGAACCACCCCCCATAGTTTAAGCATAGGTTTCTCGTAATTCTCATTTAGCTGTATAGAAAATAGGTCCATTAACTTTTTTTTTTTTTTCTATTTCAGGAGACTTATATGGCGCTATTGGCTCTCCTGTCCGTTTAGCAAGGACTGTGGTTGTTGGCAAACGACAAGATATGGTCCAGAGGCTGCTTTATTTTCTAACTTATTTCATAAGATGCTCTGAACTTCAAGAAACTCACCTTTTAGAAAATGGAGAAGATGAAGCCATCGTTATGCCAGGCACAGTGATCACTACCACTTTAGAAAAGGGAGAAATTGAAGAGTCAGAGTATGTCCTGATCACAATGCATAGAAACAAAAGCAGTCTGCTTTTTAAGGAGTCAGAAGAGCTAAGAACTCCTAACTGTAGCTGTAAATATTGCAGTCATCCACTCCTTGGGCAAAATACAGAGAACGTGTCACAACAAGAGAAAGAAGATGTTCAAGAGAATTCTAAGGAAGTGCTAGGAATTTCAAATGAATGCCAAGTAGTTTCTCCTGAGTACCAAGAAGAAAATGCTATTGATGTTAAGCAGTGTAAAGATAAATTAAGAACTTGCCTTGACACCAAGTTAGAGACAGTTGTTTGCACAGGATCTGCTCCTGTAGACAAATGTGTATTATCAGAGTCAGGCTTGGAGACCACAGATGAAACATGGCCGAATAAAGAGGTGCTGGATTCAGATAATCACACAGGCAAACCCATGAGAACCACAGGAATCGTTGTAGAGAAGAAGCCTCCGGATAAGACCGGGCCTGCTATGTTTTCTTGTGAGGCAACCCAAACAAAGGTTACTTTCCTGATTGGAGACTCAATGTCACCTGATTCAGATACTGAACTTAGGAGTCAGGCTGTGGTGGATCAGATTGCCAGGCATCACACCAAGCCACTGAAGGAAGATAGAGGGGCAACAGATAACCACCAAGAAACTAAACAGCCAACCAAGGACCAATCCGAAGGGTCTGATATACAGACCATGGTTTCTGAAGAGCCCTGTGGACTTCCCTGTTGGAGTCCATCAGATCCTGAAAGCATGAGCTTATTTGATGAATATTTCAATGATGATTCAATTGAAACCAGGACTATTGATGATGTTCCCATTAAAACAAGCATAAGCAATAAAGAACATTGCTGTATGTTAGCCTTTTCCAAAAGGTTGTGTATCAAAAACGTCAAACAGAGCGGTGAATTTTGTAAATGTGCAGAAAGAGTTCACCAAGATCCATGTAAAACCTGCTTTCCTCAGCAGGACCAAAGAAATATACTCTCCATCCTTGTCCCCCATGGGGATAAAGAGAGTTCAGAGAAAAAAAATGCTGTAGGAACCGAATGGGACATTCCAAGAAATGAAAGCTCCGATAGTGCCCTTGGGGACAGTGAAAGTGAAGACGCTAGTCATGATGCCACGAGACAGGTCAGCAGTTACTTTGGAGGGGAGCAAGAGGACTGGGCAGAAGAGGATGAGATCCCTTTTCCTGGGTATGTATATTAGGCCTTATCCCAACATATGCCATTGTTTTGTTTAGCTGGTCCCTGAATCAGATGATAGATAGATAGATAGATAGATAGACAGATAGACAGACAGATAGACAGACTGCCCTGATTATGTTCTTTTTTTATTATCATGTGCTCTTACTTATAGGAAAATTATACCTGAGCCCATAAACACCTCAGTAAGGCTTTATGAAGAGAAAAAGGATCTTGGCAATATGTAGAGAATTGCTTACTTTGAAGTGAATTTTGCCCTCAAAATGGACCTGTGAGCCAGGCACCAGTGGCTTACATCTGTAATCCTAGCTGCTCAGGAGACCAAGATCAGAAGGTCATGTGGTTCAAAGCCAGCCTAGGCAGCAAAGTCTATGAGACTCTATTCTCTAATCAAGCTCAGAAAAAGTTGGAAGTGGCGCTGTAACTCAAGTGGTAGAGCGTTAGCCTTGAGCAAAAAGAAGCCCAAGATCAGTGCCCAGGCCCAGAGTTCAGGCCCCAGGACTGGATGGACCTATCAAGATTCTAATAGGGAGACAGAAAATCTCTGAGGTGTAAAATGGTTGTTGGAAGTAAACTTGGCCCAAACAAGAAGAAGCAGAGCAAGTATACAAGGAGAAAATGGATGCTTGAGAAATACTATATTGAGCTTAATGTATTATTTAGCTTACTTTTATTTTGGATGCTAGTTTTCAGTTTGGTTGTGTTTAGTTAGCAATGTGTGACAGCACACACAAGAGTCAGCTCTCCTGCTCTGATATGAAAGAGTCATGCCTACTTCATTCCAAAGTTGTTCACTAGACCTTCTCCAGATAAGAAGAGTATTTTTTGGTCTGTTTTATGGTTTGAGGCAGGATGATTTTATTATGAGTATACTTTGTAGAATAGAATGGTACTAGAAATGTGGCTAGTAGAGTTACATCCTCCCCCCCCACCCCCGCCCCCCATACACACACATACTGGCAAAGTATGTTGCTAATTAGATTTCTGTTCCTTGGGAATCTTCCCTCCAGGTCAAAGTTGATTGAAGTGAGTGCTGTTCAACCCAACATTGCCAACTTTGGGAGGTCCTTGCTGGGTGGTTATTGTTCATCTTATGTGCCTGACTTTGTTCTTCAAGGAATAGGAAGTGATGAGCGACTTCGTCAGTGTCTTGGGGCAGATTTGTCTCACGCTGTGCAAGTAAGTGATCTTCACTGCTTCTGAGTATATATATTTAAAGCAAAACTTCTGTTAGCCAGTAGAACTCAGAATTAATTACTTTATACTTTTAGTCACATGTGACTATGGCACAATTATTGTTCTTTGAATCCATTAATTTCTTTATATCACCTACATCTTTATATCTGTCATAGTGAAAGTGAGTATAGCGTTCCATAAGTCTATAAAACAGAAACTGAAATACAAAGATGACTTTATGTACTCATACTTGTACATTTACAATATAAAAATTAAATATAAATAAAATTATTTTCTTGATTTACTTTTCACATTATCTATTGTTTAATTTTTTTTTTTTTTTGTTCGTGGGGCTTGAACTCTGGGCCTGAGCGCTTTCCCTCAGCTCTTCAGCTCAAGGCGAGCACTCTACCACTTGAGCTACAGCGCCACTTCCGGTTTTCTGGTGGTTTATTGGAGATAGGAGTCTCACGGTCTCTCCTGCCCGGGCTGGCTTTGAACCACAATCCTCAGATCTCAGCCTCCTGAGTAGCTAGGATTACAGGCGTGAGCCACCAGCGCCCGGCTATCTATTGTTTAGATATACAAGTATAAATGCTTTTTATAGATTGGTATGACCTTGTTGAGCTGTTACTAGTTGTATTAGATTTTTTTAAGGTAAACAAAATGAGTTTATTTGAAGGTAAAAGGAAAGCAGAAGGAAGCCAGGTCCTGGTGGCTTACACCTGTAATCCTAGCTACTCAGGGGGGCTGAGATCTGAGGATCATGGTTCAGAGCCAGCCTGGGCAAGAAAGTCTATGAGACTTTAATCTCCAATTAACCACCAGAAAACTGGAAGTGGCACTGTGGCTCAAGTGGTAAAGTGTTAGCCTTGAAGAGCTGAGGGACAGTGCTCAGCCCCAGAGTTCAAGCCCCACGATGGACCAAAAAATAAAAAATAAAAAAGCAGAAGGAACGAGTTAGTGGACTCCCTAAGTTGGGTGAGGATCTCCCTGTCACCCCATAAGGAAAATCCTTGTATTAACTTTTCTGAATAGAATTCCTTTTTGCCCCCTAGTGCTGGTCCTGTAGCACTGTCCCAGAGCTTCTTTTGCTCAAGGCTAGAGTTCCACCTCTTGTGCCACAGCTCCATTTTCAGCTTTTTGGTAGTGTATTGGGGATAAGAGTCTCAGGAGCTTTCCTGGCTGTGCTAGCTTCATACCGTAATCCTCAAATCTCAGCCTCCTGAGTAGCTAGGATTACAGGCATGAGCCACCAGCACTCATTTCAGAATTCTTTTTTTTTTTGGGTCCGGTTGTGGGGCCTGAACTCTGGGCCTGCGCGCTGTCACTCAGCTCTTCAGCTCAAAGCTAGCGCTCCACTTGTGGCTTTTTTCTTTTTGCTTATGTGGTGCTGAGAGATGGAACCCAGAGCCTCATGCATGCAAGGCAAGCGCTCTACCACTGAGCCACCTTGCCAACCCCATTGTTTTTTTTTTAAGTATATTATTTATAGAGTTTTCATAGACAATCTTATCAGATAGAAGAAGTTCCTTTCTATTTGTAATCTTTGAAAGGAATTTAGTTTTCATTACTGTATCAGTTGAGATGGTCATGTGGTTTTATTAAGATCATAGGTTATATTGATTTATTTTTAGACAATAAAGCAATCCTGTATTCCTAGAGAAGAATCATACCTGGTGATGCTAAATAATCCTTGTGTACATGTTGCTATATTTTACTTGCAGTAGCTTTTTTTTTTATTATAAAGGTGATGTTTAGAGGGATTGCAGTTACATTAGACATAATATTTTGTCATAGATTTGGGAGTCTCTATTCATGAAGGCTGTTTTTATGTGGCTTCTTTTGTGATACTTTTATCTACCTTTGATATCAGTGTGATTAAACTACTCCCACAAAATGAGGTGGGAAGTATTTCTTCCTCACTGTTTTGGAATTATTTTTAGGAAATTGTTACTATTTTTCCTAAATACATGATAGAATTCATTAGCAAAACCATCTGAGCCTGGACTTTTTTATTTATTTTTAAATTTTTTTCAGTTGTGGGGTCTGAACTCTGGGCCTGACTTCTGTCCCTTAGCTCTTCAGCTCAAGGCTAGCACTCTACCACTCGAGCTACAGCACCACTTCCAGCCTTTTCTGCTTCTGTGGTGCTGAGGAATTGAACCCAGGGCCTCATGCATACAAGGCAAGCACTCTACCACTGAGTCACCTTCCCAGCCCTGGACTTTTTATAATGTGAGGATATGTTAGCCTGCCATGTAGCTCTTATTCTGTTTTCCTCTATCAAGGATTTTTTTTAGCAGTAATTGTCAGAACTTAATATATTTTTTTTCCTGTATCTGATTAATATATTTCCATGACTTCATTCCATTTTCTTTCTTTCCTTTCTTTTCCTTTTCTTTCCTCTCCTTTCTGTGCTATTCTTGGACACTGCCCCTAAGCTTTTTTGCTCAAAGCTAGTGCTCTACCACTTGAGCCACAAATCTACTTACAGTTTTTTTTTTTTTGGTAGTTTAGTGGAGATAAGAGTGCCTGGGCTGGCTTTGAACCACAATCCTTAGATCTCAGCCTCCTGAGCAGCTAGGGTAACAGGTATGAGCCACTGACACCCAGCAATTTTTACTTTTTTTATTTTCATTTTTTCTTTCTTTTTTAAAAATTGGACATGGGGCTTGAACTCAGGGCCTGAATACTGTCCCTGAGCTTTTGTTCTCAAAGCTATTACTCTATCACTTCGAACCACAGCTCCACTTCTGGTTTTTAGGTGATTAGTTGGTGATGAGTTTCACTTGGGCTGGGAAGGTGGCTCAGTGGTAGAGTGCTTGCCTCACATGCATGAGGGTTAGAACCACATAAACATAAAAAGCCACAAGTGGCCCTCTGACTCAAGTGGTAGAGCACTCGCCTTGAGCTGAAGATCTGAGGTACAGCACCTAGGCCCAGAGTTCAAGCCCCACAACTGACCAAAAAAAAAAAAAAAAAAGAGTTTCACTGACTTTTCCTACTCAGGGTGGCTTTGAACCATAATCCTTATACCTCAGCCTCTTGAGTAGCTAGTATTGCAGGTATGACATACCAGCAACCAGTCACTTTTATTTTTAACTTTTTTATTTTTATGCTTAACATAGTTGGTTTTCTTTCCAGCATCCAGTATTGGATGAACCAATAGCAGAAGCTGTCTGTATTATAGCTGATATGGATAAATGGACTGTTCAAGTGGCCAGCAGCCAGAGACGAGTGACAGATAATAAATTGGGAAAGGAAGTATTGGTTTCCAGTCTTGTTTCCAATCTGCTTCATTCCACTCTTCAGCTTTATAAGCATAACTTGTCTCCAAATTTTGTAAGTATTTGTAAGGCTTGAACTCAGTATGGTTCTTAAAAAGTGCTCCTAGCTTCATCATTTTCTAAACAAAAGTACTAGAAATTAAATGTTTGTCATGCCCCCATCCCAACCTCTTTTGTGACTTTATTTTGAGCTGGGAATTTTGGAAGGTAATTAAGATTAGATTATGTTTTAGAGTTGACCAGTGTGATGAGCTACCAGCCCCTGGCTAAGATTTAGTTTTAAGTAGTTGTACAAAGGAATTTAAATTCCACAAATTTGGGGCTGGAATGTGGCTCAGTGGTAGAGTGCCTGCCTAGTAAGCATGAAGCCCTGGGTTTGGTTCCTCAGTACCACATAAACAGGAAAGGTCAGAAGTGGTGCTGTGGCTCAAGTGGTATATAGAGCACTAGCCTTGAGCACAGAGAGGCTCAAGGATAGTGCCCAGGCCCCCTGAGTTCAAGCCCCCAGACTGGTTAAAAAATAAAATTTAAAAATATATATTCCACAAGGTTGGTGTCTCTTGATGGCCTTGTACTCTCCAGGTTTGTATGATGTGACATCATGATGTTTGCATAATAATGAAATAACCTAAGGAAATACTTAGAACATATCCTTTTTAAGTGATTCACAATTATATATAAAGAACTCCTACTCCTTTTTTGTTGTTAAGAAACAAAACACAAATAATTGAATTTCAAAATGGGCAAAAGACTTAAACATGTGGCCAAAGAAAATCTATAATAAATGGCCAGTGAGCTAATGAAAATATGTTCAAGCGAATTGACCACTGAGGAAATGCAAATAAAGCCTTAATGAGATTATACTTGACAGTCGTTATGATGAATGGCTACAAGGATGGCTAGGGGGGTAGCTGAAGGATGGCTAGGGGGGTAGCTGTCATTGAAAACAAAACAAAAATAAAGTATCTGCCTGGATATGGAGAAGTGAGAATCCCTGCACATTGGTAATGGAATGTGAAATGGTGCAAGTAATTTGGGGAAGATTACAGTTCACCACCAGGTTTAATTAGCAAGTGGTACAGTAACTTTAGTTCTACGTTTCTACTCAGAAGAATTGAAAGCAGACACTCAACAGGTAATTATATCTTAGTGTTCATGCCATATTATTCACAACAGCCAAATGTTAGAACAAATTCATTTTGATTAGCTAGTGAATTAGAAAAATATGGTTTAATATATGCAATACAGTATTTCTTCAGACATAAAAAGGAATGAAATACATGCTACAAGATGGTTGAAATAGGGCTGGGAAGTTGGCTCAGTGTTAGAGAGCTTGCCTTACATGCATGAGGCCCTGAGTTCGATTCCTTAGCACTACATAAGCAGAAAAAAGCTGCAAGAGCCGCTGTGGTTCAGGTGGTAGGGCGCCAGCCTTGAGCTGAAGAGCTGAGGGACAGTGCCCAGGCTTGGAGCCAAGCCCCATAACTGACCAAAAAAAAGAGGGTTGAAATAAAAATCTCATCTATATGAAATACCTAGCAAATTAGTAGAAATAGAAAATAAAACAGTCTTTGTTAGGAGGTAGGAAGAGAGCAGAAATATGAAGTTCTTTAAAGGGTGTAAAGTTTCCAGTTGGGATGCAAAACCTTTTGGAAGTGTGGAGCATTAATACTTGTACAACATTGTGAATGTTCTTTTTTGTTTTTGTTTTTTTTTGGTCAGTTGTGGGGCTTGAACTCTGGGCTTGGGCGCTGTCCTTGCACTCTTCAGCTTAAGACGAGTGCTCTACCGCTTGAGCCACAGCGCCACTTCCGGTTTTCTAGTGGCTTGTTGGAGATAGGAGTCTCACAGACTTTACCTGCCCAGGCTGGCTTTGAACCGTGATTCTCAGATCTCAGTCTCCTGAGTAGCTAGGATGACAGGCGTGAGCCACCCATGCCCAGCCTGTGAATGTTCTTAATGCCACTGAGTTGCTTAAAATGTTTTAATGGCCAGGGACAGTGACTCCTACCTATAATTTTTGGGTGGCCGAGATCTGAAAGATTGCATTTCAAGGGAAGCCTGGGCAAAAATTAGACTCCCATTTCACCTAATAAATAAGTTGGTGTGATGGTACCTGTCCAATTTAGCTACATGGGAGGACATGGGTCAGAGGGCTATAGTCCGAGGCTGACTCCCTGCCTTGAGCAAAAAGTGCCAGGTACTACTTGGAAAATAACTAAAGCAACAAATGGGTTCTGGCATAGTTTCCTACCTAATAGGTACAATGTCCTGAGCTAAAAAAAGTATTGTATTTCATCTTTTATATGTAAATGTATTCTATAGTTAACATTTTCTTCTTAAGCCATTTTTAGCTCACTCAAGCATTATGAAGAAAGCGTAGATCATAAAACAGTAACTTAACCCAAGAATCCACTTAGTTTTATTTTTCCAATAATAAAATGGATTTTTATTTGGAGGGGTTTTTTGTTGTTGTAGTTTTCTTTAAGTAGTTGCTTTTCATTGGAAAGAAATACTTTCAGTCAGGTGCCTATGGCTCATGCCTAGAATACTAGCTACTTACGAAGCTGGGATCTGAGAATCATGGTTCAAAGCCAACCTAGGTAGGAAAGTCTGTGAGACTCTTATCCCCAACTAACTAGCAAAAAGTGGAGGTATGGTTTAAGATATAGAGCACTACCCTTGATCAAAACAGTGCAGGGACAGTATCCAGGGGCTGAGTTTATACCTCAGGATTGGAATGTGTGCCTGCACATGCACATGTGTGTGCACACACACACACACACCACAACACAGTTAAAATACTAGATTTTATGTAATTGACTATTTTACCACAATTTTAAAATAAAAACATTGTAGACACTAATCTTCAATATAAGCCAGTAACAAATTTATAGCTAAAAATGCATTCCAGTTTTTCTTCATGTGGAAACATACCTAAATTGTCAAAAACATGATGCTTTGAAACTTGCTATTATTCTAAGAATTGGAACTCATTCTTTAACCTGCTTTTTGGTTCTTTTCTAACTTTAGTGTGTAATGCACCTAGAAGACCGGTTACAGGAACTGTATTTCAAGAGCAAAATGTTGTCTGAATACCTGAGGGGGCAGATGCGTGTTCATGTCAAGGAGCTGGGAGTGGTTCTTGGGTATGTCCATGCTTTCTTTTCTGCCTTTGCTTTGTCATTGTTCTTTAGGTACGAAATGTTTCTCAGAATTGCTTTCTCCTTTTCCTTCTATTCCTCCTCCTCCTCCTCTCACTCCTCCTCCCTCTTTCCTCCTCCTCCTTCCTTCTTCCTCTTTCTCCTCTTCCCACTTCTCATCCTCCTCCCACTCCTCATCCTTCTTCTCCTCTTCTTCATCCTTCTGCCTTCTTTCTTCTCTTTTTCTATTAGAATAACCTAATAGGTCGCCAGTTAGGTGCTCCAGATGGTGCTGAACTAGATTCCTTGTCACAGCACGATCTGAAATATTGTTTCTTGAGCTATTAGTACTTGGAAAGTATATTCATAGTTAAAATCTGAATTTTTATTTCAGAAATCATTATGTAAGTACTCATGCTTTTAGGTATCAGGTGTGTCTTAAACATTATTCTAAGTATCTGGTTCTTTATGTATCACTACTGCTTGCTAGTTCTATATGACTGTTCTACAGTTAGTCCCTAGAAGGAAACAGTTATCTAAAGTGCTACCTGGGTGGAAAGGGATAAGGAAGAATAAGCGAGGGTGAATTTTTGTTGTTGTTGTTGTTGTTGGTCATGGGGCTTGAACTCTGGGCCTAGGTGCTGTCCCTCAACTCTTCAGCAAAAGGCAAGCGTTCTACCATTTGAGCCACAGTGTCACTTCTGGTTTTCTGAGTGGTTAATTGGAGATAGAGTCTCACAGACTTTCCTGCCCAGGCTGGCTTTGAACTGTGATCTCAGATCTTAGCCTCCTGAGTAGCTAGGATTATAGGCATGAGCCACTGACGCCCACCTAAGAGAGGGTAAATTTTATCAAAGTACAATATATGCCTATTGAGAAACATTCCAGTGACACTCCTTTATAGAATTAATATAACACAAATAAAAAATAGGAAAAAAACTAAAACATGTAATACAAAATAAAGTGTAATTCAAGAAGGAATAGAATTGTTGGAGCTCATACAATAGCCCTTTTTGATTATGTTCTTCAATTTTCCAGTATTCTTTTTTTTTGGTGCAATTATATATGAATCATGAAATGCTAATTGAAGAAATTAAAACGTGATAAAAATTTTTACCTAAATTCAGTTTTTATGAAGGGAATTGGAGTCAGCATTATTTAGAACCTAGTATGTGCTAAATTGTTATTAGTATTATTTCTTAATTTTTTTAATGCTAGTGATCTAACCCAGCACCTGTTACTAAGTACATAAGCACGTGTTGTAGCATTTTGAGCTACATGCCTGTCCCCTCCCTTAATTATCAGTTATCTGGCATAATGTAAGCAATGCTTCCAAATTGGAAATGCTCTGATTCTATAAAATTAACAAGCCAGATGTGATACACTAGTAGAACTGGGTAGGAATTTGGATGACTCCAAGTCCTATTTCTATGCTATATTGCCACACATTGTTCAAACCTTAATGTGGCTTTTAGAGAATGCTTCTCCTGTTTGGGAAATCAGAAAACAGACAAAATCTTGTTTTTCTGGGGAGTGAAGGAGCGCATTGTGCTTGTATGTGTCTCCATGCCTGTGTGGTCTGCGTGTGTGTACATGCGTTTTTTTTTTTAAGTTTGAATTTGTTTTTAAGATAATGTACATGTAACCAAATTATGCAAAATGAAAAGCAAATTGTCATCTTACCCTGTTTCCAACTTCCACATCAACACTGTTAGCAGATTTGCTAAGCAGCTTTGCTTACGAAAAATTTCCAACTTTGGTTACTTAATTCCCGTCCCCAAATGCTGGGGTTTATTGCCTATATGATTCATATTTTAGATAAAGAAAGCTTGAACTGACTTTTCTTTATTTCAGGATTGAATCCAGTGATCTTCCTCTTTTGGCTGCTGTAGCAAGCACTCACTCTCCATACGTTGCTCAGATACTTCTTTAACATGCCCAAAGGTTAACTTTTGTGGAAACTTAAATCGGAACCAACGAAGCAGGCACACCATGCATTTATGATGACTTCTTTCCTATTAGACTCCATCTGAATGCATCCATCTCCAGAGAATCCTGTGTTGCGCTGCAATTCTATGTACATTGGGTGGCTTTTTGTTTTTAACTGGATTTTTGGGTGGTGGTAGGTTTTTGACTAAGTAAAACAAATACACCGCAAATAATTTTGATGGGAAGCATTTGATAAACCAAAGTGCAACTTAGAAATTTCTAAAAATGACTATCAAAGGATTTCATGTGATCAGTACAGTGTTGTCACACTCATAAATATTAGCAGATATCTCTTGGTTTAATGGCTCAGATAGTACTTTCATCCATTTTTAATTATTTCTTCTTTTGGCTTTCCTGGAGTCTGAACTCATGCTTGCTAAGGCAGGGTCTGGACCACTTGAGCCATATGCCTAGTGTTAGTTGTTTATTTCCAAGTTACAGAAGTATATAGGACCTTTTGATTATGGATTATTGGTTACTTTGTTTTGTTTTTTCCAAAACAACTAATTTGAGACTATTTCTCAAAGTAAGTATGTTAAATAGCCTAATCATTAGAAAAACTCAAAATAATAAGTGAAAATATACGTTTGCCACCCAAGTGTACACATGTATCTAATTTTTTAAAATCAAAGGTAAAAATACAAGGTTGATAAATATGTCTTTTTAAAAATATTTTCAAGTAATATTAATTGTATGTAATGTTGAAATATTACTTTCTGATAAATTTTCTGTTTCACATACTCTAAAATATATATGAAGCCAATCTTTTTCTTAAGGCTGAGGAATATATCAATTCCCAAAATAAGAATACTACTTTATAACATTTGTAACTATGGGCTAATTCTTACAAATATTAATATTTACATATTTACTAATTTAATACAAATTAATGTTAAAAATTGCACCAAAGCATTGGCATAAATGCTATTTTCTTTAAAAGTGTGCTCAGGTAGCCAAGGCCCTTGTTTTTCAGTATCAGTCCTTCCTGAATTAAGAGGGGCAGAACATTTGTCTCACTACTTAATAATTAATATTCAATTACACTAATACACAATTCATAAATCTTAAAATTATCCTCTTTTCACTAAGAGCTCCTCCCTTCTAAAAGCAGATTTTTTCAAAGATTTCCACTTTTTAATTGTTGTTCTCTTTGTATATACTGTGAAATGTTGCTTGTAAGAAAGGCTAATAAGGAACCAAACTCTTGTAAGTAATGTAAATAGAAAGGTGGGTAGATAAAGTTTTCAATATGCTCTACTACCTCAGTTTACTTGAATACTGCATTATAGTTTATTCTTTGCTTATGTGGTCTAAGGATACATTTAATGCTAGAAGTAGAGTTTGTTTATCTTTCATTGACTTTTCATCATAATTGATGGGCTACAAAAAGGAAAAACCACTTGCATATTCAGCTACTAAATACATTTAGTTACTATTTCACATCCATTCTTGCTATTTCAGTTTTTAATAATTAATGGAAAATTTCTCTGGGTTAGTCTTCAAAATGTTGATTTTATAGTGCTGTGTCATTTTTTTTTTGCCTTGTTCTTTGTTTATTCAAGAGACTTCCAACTAGACAAAGAAGATAGGGTTGTTTTAATGGATTGTAAGTCGTAAACTATTGTGCTTGCAGTTCAGCCTGCATCCCATTCGCCAGGCACCTGTCTCCCTGGATATATTGTCTTTGGCTTATTTTTCTTATTCCATTCATTTAATGAAATTCTTCTGTTGTCTACTTTTGGAATTCAGTGAATAAATCTCTTTGGTAGAATTTGTAATCTAGAAAAGTTTGAAGGGCCATTATATATTATATTTTTTTAATTGTGGCTCAGATTATGTAGCAGGGAGATAATGTCTGTTTCTTAAGCTATTCTCAGCCCTATCTATTTAAAACATCTAATTACCATTTAGCAATTCTAGTCTTCATAAATATATGGTTCATGCTACTTTTATCCTAAAAACTAAGCTTAGCTGCAAAAGGAAAAGGTATAGCTGTTTGTTTTTTAAAGAATCATTAATCCTTATAGGATTCCTAAGTTTTATAATTCTTAACCATCTGTAATTTCTAGTACTTTCATCATAATCATTCTTTCCTTATACAAAGCCCAAAGAATGAGCTGCTACTTCTTTTAAAGTGTGGTTATTATGATGAATGTGAAAAGGGTTTTGACCTATTCAGAATAATTTTTCCAACTTCTTATGGTACAGACAAATGTGTTACATATCAAAACACCTGTTTATTGGAACAGGAAATGAAAAAAGGGATGTTTTATATTACAGAATTAAAACTAATTTCTCATACATATAAACTAATTGGTTTGATTTTAAGCATCTTAGCATTTATTAATGTCTTAATTTTGAGTTTGAAAATATTAAGTGCAATAAACATACTAGTTGATTTCATTTTGTTGCAGTTGACATCCAATTGATTGGATGGTCACTAAAAAAGTCAAACTTTACCTAATGCCTCCTTCTGGTAGTTGTCTTAGGAGATTTTCTGCTTTCTCTAAGTTATTTAGATGGTGGATATGTAAAATGTACATACTTGTTCTTTGTTCTGAATACATTTCTCAAATGCACACTTGTATTATAATGCCCTCCCGGTTCTAGGGGAAATTTGTGCAATAAACACATGTCAATTTGATGTGTCATATTGCTCTTTCTTTCATATATGTCCTTGTAACTTTATGAACGCAGATGTCAGACCACCTGGATTCTTCACCCAGGTTTAGCCTTTCTAGGCATGTGATCTTTCCACATTACTAACATCTACTTAGTGAGATATAGTGAATGACAGAAATTTAGTTCAGTGTTAGCACGCCCCAAACACTCAATAACTTTTTGGCTGCTAGTATTACCTGGTAATCCGTTAAGCTTTACCCCAGTGGTCCCCACATATTGTTGGGAGCATTTATTTTTTTTTCCTGTCAGTTGTGGAGCTTGACCTCTGGGCCTGGGTGCTGTCTCTGAGCTCTTCAACTCAAGGCAAGAGCTCTACCACTTCCAGTTTTATGGTGGTTAATTGGAGATAAGAATCTCATGGACATTCGTGCCTGGACTAGCTTTGAAACGCAGTCCTCAGATCTCAGCTCCTGAGTAGCTAGGATTACAGGTGTGAGCCATTAGCACTCGGCTAGGGAGAATTTTTAAGCATACAGCCTTTTTTTTGCGGGGGGGGGGCGTCCAGTCGTGGGGTCTGAACTCTGGGCCTGGGCGCTGTCCCTCAGCTCTTCAGCTCAAGGCTAGCACTCTACCACTTGAGCCACAGCACCACTTCTGGCTTTTTTTTCCCCTGCTTATGTGGTGCTGAGGAATCGAACCCAGGGCCTCAAGCATGCAAGGCAAGCAAGGGCTCTATCACTGAGTCACCTTCCCAGCCCCCTAAACATACAATCTTATAAATAAAAACAGCTAAGAAAAATACAGGTATGTATGTATTGACCTTGTGCCTCACAATGATATCTTCAAATGCAAACTAAACCCAAGCCAACTAAAACCTAGAGGAAAAGAAGCCATGTAAAGGTGTTAAGAACATTGTACCCAAAACAGATTACCATAGACTTGACTGTTAACAAGAACAGCAGAATGATCCCCTGGTACCCATACATGACTCAGAAAAGTCCATCTGCATTGTAGGGAAATCAGCTCTTCCATCCATTCTTCCTGCCTGTTTCTGTAGCAATGATTTAACCCAGAGTGGGCTGCTTGTAGACTACTGTTTTGAAAGCAGAGAGGAAGTATCAAATGTTTACAAAACAGCCAACCGTTATTTTAGGACTGTTCACACTTACCAACTTAGGGAAGTCTGTACCATTTCTGAGAAGCATTGGAGTACTGATTTTTCTAAAGAAAATGGATACAGAGAATTTAACATGATCATCTGAAGTCGTACAGTCTTTCCTATGGAGTCAGTGTTGTTCTCTCTCAGGCAGAGTGATTTCCCAACTAGTCATGGTGACACATGTAAAGATATCCGGAATTTCATCATTTTGTCTTTGCCAGTGGAGAAGGTGGGGGTGAAGTGTGGTCAGTGACACCAAACCTGAGCTGAAGGTGCAATGGAAGTTGAGTGATTTTAGCTGAGTGTGGGAAGGGGTCAGGCAGATAGAAAAGAGCGAGGGGACCATATCTTCTCTCATTGCTCTGTAATGCAGACTGGGCACATTCTAGGTAACTATTGTCTAGACACAGAAATGATGGGAAAGTGGGTTTTCAAAACATCTTAGGATTTTTCTGCTGTTATTTTTTGTACTTTTTTTCCTGCCAGTCTTAGGACTTGAACTCGGGGCTTGGGCAGTGTCCCTTCTCCTCTTTTGCTCAAGGCTAGCACTCTACCACTTGAGCCACAGGGCCACTTTGGGCTTTTCCTGTGTATGTGGTGCTGAGGAATCAAACTCAGGGCTTCATGCATGCTAGGCAAGCGCTCTACCACTAAGTCATATTCTCAGCCCTTTTTTGTACTTAACTATAGTTTTGTAATAAATAAGTCTCAACTTCTGTGATACATTTTGTTTTCCTAAAAATCTTCCTAAAAATCTGCCAATATAGCATGCTGTAAACTTCAAGTTTGGACAAGCTCTGAACCAACAAAAAACACATCAGCTGTCATCTCTCTAAAATGTGTAGCCTGAGCTCATTTCTTTTGATTACTCTGAATATGCAATTTGAAACATGACCAGGTCATCAGAAAGTCACTGTGAATCAGTTATTCTTTGAAAAGCATGCCATCATCATCACTCTTGAATTATTTAGTTAACTATGCAAATTGCTGTGAAAATACTAAGACTTAGATGTGGTCACAGCCTTCAAGGAGTTTTTCAGTGTAAAGGACACCGCCCATGATGGTGGCAGGTGAGGAGCTGAGTGACTAATGCAGTCAGTCCACCTGCATACCAATGAGAACCTGAGTAAAGGTCTGCTCGATTTCACCTTCAGAAACTGATTAAAGGCTCTAGAATGCTTGTCTGTGACCTTTACTGTGGAAAATGCCCCGCTAGTGCTCGGGCTACTCCCTACAGTGTTTTACAAAAGATCAGTTAATGAGTGGAAACTGGCTTATGCTTAATCAGTTAAAAACAAAACTAGCTGTGGTGGCTCACGCCTGTCATCCTGGCTACTCAGGAGGCTGAGATCTGAGAATCACAGTTCAAAGCCAGCCCAGGCAGGAAAGTCCATGGAGACTCTTTTACCACCCAGTGAACTACCAGGAAACCGGAAGTGGCTCAAAGTGGTAGCATGCTAACCTGGAGCGAAGAAGAGGTCAGGGACAGCGCCTAGGCCCTGAGTTCAAGCCCCATGACCAACCAACAAAAACAAAAACTGGAAGGTAAAAGGCAGTCAGTGCGAAAGCATCCACTCTGGAGCCCTGTCTTAATGTCGTGGGAGCTTGCCAGTTCCCACACAATACTCATGTGTCTTTGAAATTTCAGAGTATTCCCCAAGAAAAGGAGTCTCACAAGATGGGGCGGGGGCTTGAACTCAAGGCCTTGAGGGCGCCCCACTTCCTGTGCTCAAGGCTAGCTAGCACTCTACGTCTGGTTTTCTGTTGGAATCACACGGACTTTCCTGCCCGGGCTGGCTTTGAACCTGGATCCTCAGATCCCGGCTTCCTGAGTAGCTAGGATGACAGGCGGGAGCCACCAGCGCCCGGCTAAAATTCCGTTTTATTGAAAGACCTGGGGAGTCCAGCGCGTGGACTTCCCCGCTTAGCCAAACGGCAGCTTCCGCTCCGTCCACCTTCCAAGCAAGATCCGGGGGGGTCACAGTGTGAGAGGCGACGCTCACACCCGCTTCCGCATTTGCCTACAGTTCTTTTCCTTTCCGGGCGTTTCCGGCCCTCCCCCGCCCCTCCCCCTCCGACTACCGGAAGCTGCCGAGGCGGAAGCCACAATTCTGAGTCAGTCTCCCCACGGCCGAGGTCGAAGGCGCAAAGTCTCGCGATGCGTCTTAATACCCACCACGAAAAAGGGCTGGAAAAGATCTTCACTGTCCCCGCCCCAGTGCTTACGTCACCCGCCGGCGCTCGTTGGCGTGCTCACACACGCGCGCGCGCCTGCGCACTCGCCCCACCTCCGTCTTCCCCCCCCCCTTGCCCCTGCGCGCGCGGGCTTCTCTCTAGCCAGTCGCGCGTGGGCTGAGGGCCCCGGGCGGGCGGTGCGAAGAGTTTGTTTGCTCGGAGGTTGTGTGTTGTGAGTGAGTGCGTGTGTCTTAAATCTCGGGACAGCTCGGGGTTCCCTGCCTTTCTTGGGAGGGCACACCCCCGACGTGAGGTGAAATGGGCTGTCCGGGGAGCTGCTAGGGGGGGGAAAGCGTAGGAAGGTTGGGCAGGGGGGAGGGCGGGAGGGGGGGCGGCCATGAACTCGCCCGTGGACCCTGGCGCTCGGCAGGCGCTGAGGAAGAAGCCGCCGGAGCGGACGCCTGAGGTGAGAAACCCCGGGAGGACCCGGAGGGAGTGTGGGGGGGGGAGAGGGTGACCCCGACGTGCGGCCCGGGCTGGGTCCGCACCCCGCCGGCGGCTGTCGCGGGCTTCGCGGGAGCTCGCACCTGCCGGGGCCGCGGGGCGAGGGGCGAGGGCGGCCCCCGTTCCTGCCGGCGTCTGCCCGCACCGGCCCGAGTTAGGCCAGATGTGAACTCGGGAAGTTTGTCGGGGTAGACATGGTCACCATGTCAAAGGTAACTGACCCCGTACTGGAGTTTAGAACAACTTCCCCCCCCCCAAAAAAAAAAAGATTAAAAAAGAAGTTTTCCAGTCCCTTCCTAGCTCTGCAGTGCTCCTCCTCTTCTGCTCCTCCCGTACTGTCAGTTGAGTGGAAAGCTTACAGGACTTGATGATTGCATACCAGTTTCTTTTTTCCTCCGTAGCTGTAATAGCATCAGCTGTTTTCGTTTGCCTAAAACTGTGTGTTTTCAGGCAGATAACAAACACCTGTTAAGTCAATTGGAGTCTCCTTTACAGAGTATTCGGAGTTTTTTGTTTTGTGTCAGTCTTGGGGCCTGAACGCTGACCCCTCAAGCTCTCTCTACCTTTTGAGCCACAGCGCCACTTCCGGCTTTTTCTGCTTATGTGGTGCTGAGGAATCGAACCCAGGGCCTCGTGCATATAAGGGAAGTGCTCTACCACTGAGCCACCTTCCCATCCCCTACTTGGAGTTTTTTTGAGAGGGGGGTTTGCTGGAGAAGTTTCCTGGTAAAGTTTCTACATCCAGTGGTGTGTTTCCTAAACCAAGATAAAATGCAACGCCTGTGTGAATGGATTGTCTTCTTTTAAATTCCAGTAAATGATATAGTTCTCTTTGTCACTTGAGTTTCAGTTTTACAGTGCTTCATTTACTTAAGTTTCAGGAACTTTGGGCCCAACTTTTGGGACATGACATTTTTTTTTAAAGCTATCACCAAAGCTATAATAGGTCAAAATTTGTTATTGGAGGTCCTGAACTGTGCATTGAGCTAGGCAAAATTTACCATTTTTCTCTTTGCAGTTGTAATCTCATGTGTCTTAAATTTCCCAGTGATGACTTGGAGTTACTGCGAGCCAAGTGAAAGCAATCAATTTGAAAAGTAGAATTCCCCCAGAGTTTTTATATCATTAGGTAATTTGCAAGGTTTATGATGTAGACTGCAGGTTTTACTTTTAAACATTACTTA